TATCATAAGAACATGATTTTCCAGGGCAGGGTGTCGTGGTGCACACCTGTTATCCTAGCACTCAGGAGGCTGAGGCAGGAAGATCACAATGAGTTGAAGGCCAGCCTGGACTAGATAATGAGTTCAAGACCAACCTAAACTACTCCATCTCCAAAAAAGAATGTATTTCTCCAGATGTAATCCCAGATTCTCCCATCCTATAACCCTCTAAGCTTTAATATGAACAAAACCAGCATTTACTAATTACTTATGCAGGTGATTAAAGTCATTTAATCTTCTTAGAAGGCATGTGAGTATGGAAATGGAAGTCCCAGTTCCTACTCTACCACTTACCATGAGACTCTGGACATGTTACCTAACCTGTCTAACTCCAGGGGTTAATGATAACTATCTTAAGGTCTTGACAGGTAAATGAGATATGTTATCCATAAAAGTTGATGCAGGACATTTTGTTTGTTTTGTTCTTTGAGATAAAGTCATGCTATGCAGTCCAGGCTGATCTCGAAGTTGGAATCCTACTTCAACTTCCCAGTTGCTGGGATTACAGGCATGTACCACCACTCCTGGCTACCAGGACTTTTATTTTTGTACTGAGTGTTGAACCCAGAGCCTTCACATTGAGCTAGCTATACCCCAGAGGCCCCCTTTTTTAATTTTTTGAAGCAGGGTCTTGCTGCATCATTCATGTTGGTTTTGAACTCACTATGTAGTCCAGGCTGGCCTCAAACTCCTGACAATCCTCTTGCCATAGCCTCCCAAGGAATGGTATTACATGTGTGTACCACCATACCCAGCTCACCCCAGCCCTTTTTATGCTTACTACTTTTTTTTTTTTTTGGTACTGGGGATCCAACTCAGGACCTTACACTTGTGCAGCAGACAGCAGAACCACTGAACTGGCCCTTACTTACTACTTTTTATTTTGAGACAGGATCTCACTAAATTTCCCTCGTGGGACTTGAATTTTCACTTCTCCTGCCTCGGCCTCCCAGAGTGTCAGGATCACAGGCATGGAGGGTTTCTTTCTTCTTTCCTTCCTTTTTCTTTCCTTCTCTCTTTTTTCTCTCTTTTTTTCTTGTGAGAAACATTTATTCTGAGAATCTAAAATCTGCACAAAGAAGGTTGAACTTCAGAAAAAGCCTACACAGAGTTTTGTTATTTCTTCCCTTATGTTAACAATCTAGTAAGAAAAAAAAACTCACAAAAACCCTTTTAAAATAGTATTGCTTCAGTCTGTCTGCAGTTTTGTGATTTAAAACATCCCTGCTGTACTGAGGTATAAGCTGCAAACTTTAGTAAAAGGGGGGGGGGCAGGGATTTAGCTCAGTGGTGCTGCGCCTGCCTGGCAAGCATAAGGTCCTGAGTTCAATCCCTGTTACCAAACCAAACCAAAACAAAAAAACACCAAAAAATATAACCAAATCCTATACCTTTGTTTTGTTTTGTTTTGTTTTTGGTACTGGGGTTTGAACTCCGTGCCTTAGCGCTTGTGAGGCAGGCAGCAGAACCACTGAGCTAAATCCCTGGCCCCAAATCCTATCTTTCTTGGTACATATACTACAAAGAAAAAATTTCATTTGCAAAAGCATTCCTTACACACACACACACACACACACACACACACACACACACAATCTCCTCTTGTAAGTTTCAATTGCTGAGTTTTAGGAAAAAAAAAACTTAAATTCAGCTCCCCCCAAACACCCACTCTGCATCAGAAAGAAATCTATGAGCACAGTCTTTAGCAAATCTGGCTGGCATTTTTTTCAACAACTCAGTGCTTTAAAGGAAGAGCCCCATCTTGAGAAGGAGAAGGGAAGGCCCTTGGATGGTGCTTGACACCACTTCCTGCCCTCCCAGACACACTGGCCCCAAGCAGAGGTGAGGTAGACCTGGGGGACAGAGGTGGGTCTGAGGCACCCAGGGGGATGCCTTGGAGGTGAGTCTGCCTGGGTGGAGGAGCCCTGTCCTCTTTTTCTTTTTTTTTTTTTTTTTCCTTTTTTTGGTGGCAGGATCGAACTCAGGTCCCTGCACTTGCAAGACAGATGGCGGAACCACTGAGCTAAATCCCCGGCCCTGTCCTCTTAACCATGGCAGGATTTGCGGGGGACGTATTTTTAAAAAATTATTCTTATTTTTAAATTTTATTTTATTTTATCCATCCCCCCACTTCTATATACAAAAGTTTGTGGGAGTTTTTTTGTTTTTTTTTGGCACCGGGGATTGAACTTGGGTCCTTGCACTTTCAAGGCAGGTCACCGAACCGCTGAGCTAAATCCCCGGCCCAGTATACAAAAGTTTTGTTTCCATTTTTCCTTCTATTTTGTTTTTTCTTGTCCCTTCTTTCCTTTCTCCCTCCCTCCTCATTCTCCTTCTCATTTGAACATTTTCTTCCTATTTCCCAATATCTATTATACATTTTAGTCCTTAATTTCCACTTTGTTTCTCACACCAGAGAAACAATGTGGTATTTAAACTTGTGTGTCTTATTTCACTTAAGAATATAGTCTCAAGATCCATCCATTTAGCAATAAATGCCTTTAGTGCATCCTTCCTTATGGCAGAGTAGTATTCCATTATATTAAAAAAAAAAACACATCTTCATCCATTTGTCAGTCGATGGGTATTTGGGCTGTTTCTAAGATTTAGGTATGACCAACTGTGCCACTATAAACATGGCTGTGCATATATCACTGTGGTAAGATGCTGTTTTTTTATTTTTATTTTTTTTTTGGTACTGGGGATCAAACTCAGGTCCGTGTGCTTGCAAGGCAGGCAGCAGAACCACTGAGCTAAACCCCTGGCCCAGGATGCTTTTAATTCTTTCTGGAAGATACCAAGAAGGGGAATAGCTGGATCAAATGGAACCTCTAGTTTTAGTTTGCGAGAAATCTCCACACTGATTTCCACAGTGGTTTGGAAGGATTTCTTAAAACATTTAGGTATATAATAATTGGTAAGTGTTAGTAGTTAACATGGATCAATACTTTTGATAATAATTTTACATGGATTATTTGTAGAATATGGATTGTTTATTACAAACGGCTGTTTTAAGTACTGGATATACTGGTGAACAAAACAAAAATCTGCAGGGGGAAGAAATAGTAAACAAGTAAAGCACAGTGTGCCAGCCAATATTGAATGCTATGGAGAAAAAGGAGCCAAAGCAAATAGAGTTGTAAGGAAAGCAGGTGTTGGAGGCAGTCATGTTGTTTTAAAAAGGATGGCCCAGGAAGGCTTCTCCGATAAGGTGACTTTTGAACAGAGAACTGGAGGAGGTGAGGGAGGGAGCCATGTGGGCATCTCGGAGAAGAACCTTGCTTGCACAGTGTGCAGAGGCCCTGATGGTAGCTAGTAGTGTAGATGCAGTGGGAGGAAGAGAGGTAGAGGATGCAGTAGAGGTAGCAAGGTGGTAGAGGACCAGACAACAAAGAGTTCTGTGGGCCATTATTAAGATTTTGGCTTTCATCCTTAGGAGCACGGAGGGACAGAATACTGAAGCTGGAGGGAGGCTAAATAACTTTTCCAAAGTAGGACGCTCCCAAGTGGCAGAAAATGGGAGTTCAGCTCCAGGGCTTAAATTCTTATCCTGTGCTGCCAGTAAACTTTAGCCTTTTTTATTTGGGCACTGCTCTCTTCTGACTTCATAAAGAAACTGGATCGCTGAAAAGTTATGTGGCTTGCCTAAGGCCACACAGCTGGTAATTAGGTAGGATTGGAGCCTTGATCTGTCTGCAGTCCAAGTTCGTTACACCACATCACCTCCTTCAGGTGTCTGGACAATACTGACTTCTTGCCTGGAGGTCATTTCGGTGGCAGAGGCAAACTGCCTCTCGGCTCAGGGCGGAAGAGTTCTTTAGGAAGTGGCATCTTTCCCAGACAAAGCACGGAGGAAAAGGATATGGGCTTTTATTTCGGGGAGGCACCACAGGGTAGGAGAGACTGCATTAGCTGCTGCTGCTGCCGCCGCCGCCGCCGCCGCCTCTCGTTGCCCTCTCCCCCAATTTCCCTTACCCTCCT